TGTCACTAGCAAGAATAAGCCCAGTGTTTGTAACAACAGATGAAATTGGCCTTAGAGTTGAAGAACATTTGCGTAGAGGAGTGGAGTTGGAGGGTTAGGATTTGTATAGATAGGATATACATAGATTATGGACAACTTTAATGCCAAATTGATTAGTTTAGATTTAATTTAATAGGAATTACATATATAGAAACACACATAATATACTTGTAATACATATGTGTGTGTAAAACTTCATGTATTAGAAAAACAAAGCTCTGTTTTAGGAATACTAATATTAAAATATTCTTAATGCTTACCTTTTTTTTAAGAGTGTACAATATACAAGTAAGGCAAAATAATTCCTTAAAATATTTAAAAATAATAGTGACAACCAGGCATATATGGTACTGTATATGATACAGTGAAGACCATTTATAAAATCTCCCTCCTCCAATGTTTAAAAAAAAAAGAACCAAAAATAGTAAATCGAGCAAACAAAATTATTAACAGCAACCAAACAAAGGAACTGACTCATCATGTTTTCTAAACCCCACCATGGATCTCCCAGACGTCATAGTGATGCAAAAGGCGATTCATTAAATTCAGATAATTCTTGTATTTTCCACTTAGAGAGAAGCAGATTGGGGTTGAAATAAAGGCCAATGGAAAGTCAGAGAATATCTCTCAAGAATAGAAAACCCCACAATTCTCCGTGGCATCTCAGCAGAGGCAGAAAAGCTATAAATGCCTATTATTTTTTAACTCTCTAACTCTTAGAAAAATGCTAGGAAACACTACAATTCATACTAAAAGTGAATAATCATAGCACACACAAACCAGGTTAAATATTTCTGGAAGAAATCTCAAGAGTCCCCTCACACCCACCAAAAAATATCCTTGTACCTTTTTGTTGTACAGAAGAACTCAGTAAGAATCTCAGTCTAGGAAGATGAAAACTCAAATGATGACATTGCAAGACATGAATAAAATGAGTAAGGGAACAAATTAAGAATAGAGCAGCACTATTATAGAACTAATTAATGCATTAGAAATAGAAACACAATACAATGAACGTCAGGCTGCATTCGTCCTTTTCTCCTATCAGCTAACTGCATGTATTATTCCCAGACAATTATCTGGAAATGATGCTTATCCAATGTTCAGGGCAATTATTTTTAGGTAGCTGTATTTTTGAGTGAGTTCTTAAGCTTTTTTTTTTTTTTTTTTGTATTTTAACTTTTCCACGTTAATTTTAAGAAGATAAATACTTTTCTCGAACCAAGACATTTTTCTTAAAAGAACTATGTTGGCAAATTTTGTTAAGCATTTGCTGGTGATAAAAAGATGAGTACACTACTCATCCTGTCCTCAAGAATCCATACTCTGTCCTCAAAAATTTAACCTATTTTTTTAAAATACTTAAAGCTAAATCAGAATATCCTTCGTGTTCTCATCCTAGACCTTTATGTATGTGCAAAAGGAATTTTAAAGTAAGTTATTTCATGGATTCAAAATACACTCCTACACACATTTGTTGAAGTTAAGATCTGATGATGTGTTTCCCTTATTTTATGTCTGTCAAGTCAGAAACTGAGCAGGGTCTAAGATTTTAACCTACTTGCAAGCAAGCAAGTTAGCTGGACAGTTTTCTAGATATCAACAGAAGACAGGAGACTCCTGGGTCAGAGAAAAAAAAAAGACAATTTATTGCTCACAGCAATAGCACTAGCCAGAGTAACAACGTAGCACTGGTTTTCCAAACTGCAACTCCCACAGGAAGATGAAATTAAGGCAACGTGTTGCCAGATAGTGGGGTCTTTAAAGGAGAGGATTCTTGTTATTAGAAGCCCAGGTCTTATATAGGGTCTATTGGCAAATCTGCCCATCCTCCCCTCAGGAGAGAGACATTATTTTTATTTCTCTGGAGTGTCATGCAAGTCTGCTTCAGGGAAATGAGCGTCTCTATCTTTGTTGTTTTTGTTGTTGTTAGGTGCCTTCAAGTTGGTTCTGACTCATAATGACCCTAGGTATAACACTGTTCAGTCCTGCACCATCCTCACAATCGTTGCTATGTTTGAGCCATTGTTGCAGCCACTGTGTCAATCCATCTCGTTGAGGGTCTTCCTCTTTTTCACTGACTCTCTACTTTCCCAAGTCCTTCACCAGGGACTGTTCCCTCCTGATAACATGTCCAAAGTATGTGAGACAAAGTCTTGCCATCCTTTCTTCTAAGGAGCATGCTGATTGTACTTCTTCCAAGACAGATTTGTTTGTTCTTCTAGCTGTCCATGGTGTATTAAATATTCTTCTATCTTAACTTTCTGGAATATAAGCAAATCTGCTCTAGCAAGAGACATATACATTTTTCGAAATCTGCCTGCTATACAAACATCCTTAAAAGACAGTCTGGAGCAAATTAACTGTTAATGCCTTTGAAAATATGTGGATATATGAGAGACTCATGGAATATTGTTTTCCTGCAATACCGAGAAGTAACTTCTTGAACAAAATGAATGTTGTACAGCAGAGATCTGATTTCTTCTCTCTTTTAGTGTTAATACATGACTGACGACTATGGAAGTTTTTTGTATGTCTGTTTCTTTTAAATAATGTTGTCTTTGAACTTTGTGCTTGATCAGTTTTAAACTGAAATACAATTCTTAAAATTCATGAGCCAACTAATTTCTATAGAAAACCTAAGACCTCAAAATTTTTACTTCCTGCCCTCATTCTCAAATATTTCATCAAAATTATATACAAATTAAGTTACTGGATAGATAATACCCTTAAAATTGCAGAGTTTGATGTTTTACTTAGAAACAAAAATTGCATTCTAGATTTATAAATTGTATAGCATTCTAAATGTAATGCCATAGATTTGCCAACACTCAACTGAAATGTGAAATCCTTGGAATTATTATGGAATAGATACCATTATAGTAGTCACTCCGTTTAGTAATTCTTAAGTTTTTGTTTACGCTGTTATAATAAAAAAATGGAAGTTAATTAGAATATTAAACTATATGGAATGAAAACTTTATTAGGAAAGTTTGTGCAATATATGTAGTTTTCTTTCTTAATCTACTCTAGTACTATTTTTAGCAATAATCTACTTTGACAGTATCTTTTTCATCTCTTCTTTTGTCTTATTGCCCCAGTTTAAGTCTCCTTTCACTCTCACTTATATGATTGTGATAATTCCTTATTACTTTCCCTGCTTCTAGTTATTCCAGGTTCAATGAAATTTAATCTCTTTGACTATAGTATTTAAAGTGCTTCCAGAATCCTCCAACAATCCTTGTTTAACTTAATTTTCTGATTTTATTCCTTCACCATTCGTTGTGTAGATAAACTAGACTACTTGCTTGTTCCTGAGTATATCCCATGTCTTTTCTACATTTTTCTCCTATCTAAAACGATTTCCTATAATCTTGCTTGTTAAAATTATACTCATTATTCATGGCCTAGTTCAAATGTCTTTTTCTCAGTAGCCTAATAAGCTTCTAATTAGTATTTTTTTCCAACAGTTTCTACATGTACCATTTAGTGGCACTGATTACATTCTTCGGCTTATGCAACCATTCTCACCCTCCTTTTTTGAGTTGTTTCTCCCTCATTAACATTCACTGTCCCCTAAGGTTCCTATCTAATCTTTCAAGTCACTGTTGTCAATTTGATACCAGATAGATAGTTCTTAAAAGAGCATAATGCTCAAAACAGACATATTTTACTAGTTAAGCTAAACTATTATTTGGTTTTAAGAAGACTGCAGAGATATTTTTGGTTTACGGTTTAAAGATTATCTCAAGCTAATAGTATCAAGAGTTAAGCCAAACTTCATGGCTCTAGGAGTCTGGAGTCCATGATAATTTGACATTCTGTTCTGTATTTTCCTCCATTTGATCAGGATTCTTCTATAGAATCTTTGATCAAAATGTTCGGTAATGGTAGCCTGACACCATCCAGTTCTCCTGGTCTCATGGCAAAGGAGGCATTACCAACACATTCCGTATCCTCCTAATCTTGATGGTCCTTCTTCCTCTGTTGTTCCAGGTGAATAGAGACAAGTTGTTGTGCCTTGGATGGCTGCTTGCAAGCTTTTAAGACCCCAGGCACTATGCAGTGAACTAGGAGGTAGAACAGAAGCACTAAACATGTTATTAGTCCAGTTAACTGGGATGTCCCATGAAACCATGATCTTCAACCTCCAAACCAAGAAACCAAATCCCATGAGGTTTTGGGTGTACATAAGCAGCCTCAGCAGCTATTCTTTTTGTTGTCATTGTTGTAAATATATTTATCACATAGCTTTTGCCAGCTTAACTTTTTACAGGTGTACACCTTACTGACAGCATTTACAGTAATTGACTGTGCAACTCTACTGTTAATCAATGCAATATTTCCATCACCACTAACCCCCCCTTTTCCCCTGTATCCTGCCCCCCAGTAGCCCCTAATAAACTTTGTTATCTATACACTTGCTTTTTATGTAAGTGAGGTCATACAATATTGGTCCTTTTGTGATTGATTTATTTCACTCAGCAAAATATCTTCCAGCTCCATCCATATTGTAGCATTATCAAGACTTTGGAGCTCTGGTAGCTCAGAGATTAATAGCTTGGCTGCTAAACAAAAGGTTGGCAGTTAGAATCCACCTGCTGCTCCATGGAAGCCCTATGGGGCACTTCTACTCTGTCCTATAGAGTCGCTGTGAGTCGGAATCAACTCAACAGCAACAGATTACCAAGACTTCATTTCTCCTACTGGCTGAGTAGTATTCCATTGTACATATGTACCACATTTTGTTATCCATTCAGCTGCTGATGAGCATTTAGGTTGTTTCCACCTTTTGGTTATTGTGAATAGTGCTGCAGTGAACTTAGTTTATTTTTATATATGGCACTTGGCTCTCTGTGCTTCTCCTACAGCAATTATGTGCTCCTTTGTAACGGAATTGTTTGTATTCATGTTTGTTTATCAAGTTTGTAACCTTCCTTCCTATTATTTTTTCTCCCTAGCAAGTAAATGTCACATCTAGGCCACTGTGTCATGCTGGCAGAGATCTTCAGCAAATCATCTTAGAACAATGCTACAATTTTGTTTGTGTAAATGTAAGTAGTAAATACAAATGATTGAAAGCACTTAATGATCTATATAAATGTAAGGTGGAAGAGAACTAAATTTTTCTTGATTCTTTAAAGTTTGAAATCAAGATTTTGATAACTGAGTTTTGTTATTCATTATATATTTGAAAATTTTATTTTTTGAAATAGTGAAAAGATTTTTTTAACAAGCTAGCTTTCATAATGATGAGATGATGTCTCTTTAGATAGTATTTTCAATTTTATCTTTTTACCTGGTATAAAGCAGATAATATGACAGAGGTCTGAAATAACCAATAGTTCAAATTTTGATATGTATTACCATATGGATACCCTCTAAAATGGTTTAAATAATTAAAAATTAAGCTTTGATAAATATTTTTACTTTATGTAAAATCTTCCCATTTTCCTCCTTGAGTTAAGTTTTAAATCCATTAAGAACTTCTTCACTTTCTTTTATTTTTTTGGTCATTCAGGTTATGAACTTTGATTTTCAAGAAACTCAGAAGTTACTGGGTATGCTCGAAGAGAGTCGTCTTTCCATTTTATACCCTGTTGTTGTTGTTTCGGTAAGAGAATGAATGCAGATTTTTCTCATTAAATTTATGCTTCCTTCCTTGTAACTCATGGTGTCTATTTAAGAATATTTTATCAAATTGAGAACATCACCCAAATTCTAAAGAAGAAGTTCTTCTTTTCTTTGTGTATGCTTGAGCTTACTCTCTTGCTATGATTGCCTGCCCTCATTGCTGTAATCATTTGGCTAAACTGATAGGGTTGGAAAACAATTTAATTCAACCTAGCAACCAATTTCATTTCTTTTCCTTCATTGAAATCACAGCTTTTATAGTCGTTTACATAGTGTGAAAAGAGTTTTGTTTAGCATAGTAACCAAAAAAAACCCAAACCCATTGCCATCAAGTTGATTCCAACTCATAGCAACCCTATAGGACCGAGCAGATTTGCCTGGTAGGGTATCCAAGGAGTGGCTGGTAGATTTGAACTGTTGACCTTTTGGTTAGCAGCTGAGTTCTTAACCACTGCCCTACCAGGGCCCCATTTTGCATATTACAGGATGCCAGTAAGGAAGAAATCCAGACGTTAAAGAAATATAAGGAAAAGAATCTGATGAAAGGAAATTTATTGTTGGGTTGTTTCATCTTCTCTGTTCCATGAACAGCAAAGGAGAGCAATCAACAGATTAAACAGAATTAGTAGAATGATGCATAAAAATTTTGAAGAGGTATTTTCTGTGAAAGATTAAAAGTTGGTTTGGTGAAAAATTTACTTGATTGGCCTATCAAATTGTATGGTGGAGAGAAATATCTGAAAGCAAAGCCAAGAAGGATCAGAATCCGAGGCCATGCCAGTCAACTGGCTGAGGAGCTGATTGTGTAGTCTGTAGCATTTTGCTGTAGGAAAGCGTTCAAAACATTAAGAAAGTGTTTAGCACTTGCTGAGTTTCGAAAGCTCAGGCCTATGCCATGGTTTGGGAATTTAATTCTTGTTAGGTAAGGTAACTGATACAGAATAAAGATAACTTGCACTGTAAATAAGTAACTCTGACTTGAGCAATGCAAGTAGGAACAAATTAACAATTGAGGGAGGTTTAATTATTTCACTGGCCCATTGTATTTGATTGTATTCCCTAAGGGTAGGTTCCATGCTAGTCTGGGAAACCCAAAGCCTACATGTGACTGATTTTCACAGAGATGGAGAGACTTGCATTGAGGCTTTTAGGAACATTATAGAATGTACCTGATGCTGGGAAGACTCGCAGGCTCTGTAGGATAGAGGTGAGTTAAAAATTCTGTGTTGGCCCTTTACACCTCTCTCTGTGTTTGCTTTCTTGGGCATCTCATTCACACCATGATCCCAGACATTGTTCCCCAAAGCCGGTGTAGTATAGTGAAAAGAGTAACGGTTTTGAAATTAGAATACCTTGTTTAGTTGGCGAAGTTACTTAACTCCTCAGAGACTTGGTTTCCTCATTTTAGAAACAAGGCTAATAACTCTATTTCCTAAAGTTGTTGTAAGAATTAAAATGAATGAATGTAAATTGTATAGTACAGTGCAGGGCCCTTGGCCTACGGGTACTGTTAGTTTGTTTTTATTAATCTAGCTCCTTTTCTTTCCACTGTGGATGGGATGATTGAAGTTCACTTCCGCTGCCCTAATGTGATACCGAGCTTTAGCCTCATGTTTATCAACCTTCTATTAGGAACTTCTATTTAAGTATCTCACTATCTTCTCAAACTCAGCCTATCAGATCTATCACAAAAGCACATTCCGTGTGAGTTGACATCATCTCTTAGTGGTGACACAGTTGTGGCGGGCATATATGCTGGAATCTGTGTCATCTTTGATTTTTCCTTTTTCCTTTCTCCCTCTGCCTGTCTCCACAAAATTCACACACATCCAACTAGTTTTTAAATTGTTAGTTTTTCTTTTTCATTGGTGCGGTTATTTCTTAAACCGAGACCCTTGTATTGTTTCCATAAATATTTGAATTTAATTTTCTGTTGGCTACTCTTGAGTTCCATTTCATATTTTTCAGTAACTTTACTAGAATTTTTTGGCTATCTATGTTCCATATGAAACTAAAGAAAAGATGGACAATCCTCTAGTTAGAGTGGAAACATCATCCAAAACTAGTTTGAGAGCAGCATTTTAAGTACGTACACATTAAAATGTTTATTTTAAATTGGAGGGTTGTCACTCCGCATTTAATATTTGTACAACTATTATTTTCTCATTGCATATGAAGATTCTATGTGGTGATATTAAGATTAATATTAAACTTAATAGGAAAATGTCATTCAATATAGCTAGAATCTATATCATTAGAATGGAGCAAATCACTGGAAAGGCTGTGTAAAGAATGCTGGCTTCTTGGATGGAGAGGAGAGTGAATATAATCTGGATTTCTTAATTGTCATACAAATATGAACATGGTTGATCAAGCTTCATCCTTTTTTATTCTGATACCAATTTCCCTGAAAATGGCCTAAAGGAAAGCAATCTCTCCAATTTAGTTTTCCTGTTGCTGAAAATTTGGCATAGACATTTAAAGATTCTTCAGATTAATAGATGTTTGGAAATTACTTTAATACTATGTAAAACCAAGTGTAAACCTTCAAAAAACACCGTTCCAGGCCCGAAAAGTCAAATAGAGAGTCTAATTCATTTGGATCTGACATGATTCCTGCAAAACATTCTTTGGAACTAACATCAGATGAAAGAGTGGATAATATATTATTATTTCAATTTTATTTTCTCAGTGAGCATAACTGGTGAATATAATAGGCATCAAATAAATTGTTAATCATTATCATTGAGAAGAAATCAGCAATAAATAGAAGTTCAAAATTTAAAAATAAAGCAAACTTCAATTTTATTTGATAAAAGTTTGTCACTTTTTCCACAACAAAATAATTTTGCTATAATTATCTGAATCATCAAAAAGAACATTTCAAGATCTATTCTGAAATACAGTGTTGTCAGTGATGGGAAAATATCCATACGCCTACAAGGAAGGCTGGTTAATACAACTGTTATCAAAATTATGCACCAACCACTAATGCCAAAGATGAAAAATTAAAGATTTTTACCAGCTTCTGTAGTCTGAAATTGATCAAATATGCAATCAAGATGCATTGATAATTACTAGTGATTAGAATGTGAAAGTTGGAAACAAAGAAGGATCAATAGTTGGAAAATATGGCCATGGTGATAGAAACAACACCAGAGATTGCATGAGAGAATTTTGCAAGACCAATGACTTATTCATTACAAATATGTTTCTTCAACAACATAAATGATGACTATATATGTGGACCTTGCCGGGTGGAATATATGGGAATCAAATTGACTATATCTTTGGAAACAGATGATGGAGAAGCTCAATATCATCAGTCAGAACAAGGCCGGGGGCAAACTATGGAACAGACCATCAATTGCTTATATCCAAGTTCAAGTTGAAGCTGAAGAAAATTAAAACAAGTCCACAAGAGCCAAAGTACAACCTTGAGTCTCTCTGACCTGAATTTAGAGATCATCTCAAGAACAGATATGGCACATTGAACACTAATGACCAAAGACCAGAAGAACTGTGGGATGACATAAAGGATATATGTGAAGAAAGCAAAAGGTAAATAAAAAGACAGGAAAAAAAGAAAAGACCAAAATGAATGTCAGAAGAGACTCTGAAACTCACTCTTGAACACAGAGTAATTGAAATGAATGGAAGAAAGAATGAAGTAAAAGAACTGAATAGTAGATTTCAAAGGGCGGCTCTAGAAAAGAAGTACTATAATGAAGTATACAAAGACCTGGAGTTAGAAAAACAGATGGGAAGAACACGCTTGGTATTTCGCAAGCTGGAAGAACTGAAGAAAAAAAGTCAAGCTTCGAGTTGCAATATTGAGGATTCTATGGGCAAAATAGAGGAGCCCTGGTGGCACAGTGGTTAAGCAGTCGGCTGCTCACTGAACCCACCAGCTGCTCCGAGTGAGAAAGATGTGGCAGTCTGCTTCTGTAAAGATTTACAGCCTTAGAAACCCTTGGCGGTTCTACTGTGTCCTGTAGGGTCACTATGAGTCAGAATCTACTTGATGGCAGTAGGTTTATGGGCAAAAAACTGAACGATGCAGGAAGCATCAAAAGAAGGTGGAAGGAATTCACAGAGTCACTGTACAAAAAAGAATTGGTTGATGTTCAGTCATTTCAGGAGGTAGCATCTGATCAAGAACTGATGGTACTGGAGGAAAAAGTCCAAACTGCACCCAAGGCATTGGTAAAAAACACGGCTCCAGGAGTTGACGGAATACCAAGCAAGATGCTTTAACAAACAAATGCCACATGGGAAGTGTTCACTCAGCTATGCCAAGAAATTTGGAAGACAGTTACCTAGCCAACCAACTGGAAGATATCCATATTTGTGTCCATTCCAAAGAAAAGTGATCCAACAGAATGTGGAAATTATTGAACAATATATTAATATCACACACAAGTAGAATTTTGACGAATAGCATTCAAAAGTGGTTGCAGCTGTACATTGACAGGGAACTGCCAGAAATTCAAGTCGGATTCAGAAGAGGATGTGGAATGAGAGATATCATTGCTGATGTCAGATGGATCCTGGCTGAAAGCACTGAATACCAGAAAGATGTTTACCTGTGTTTTATTGACTATGCAAAGGCTTTCGAGTGTGTGGATCACAACAAATTATGGAAAGCATTATGAAGAATGGGAATTCCAGAACACTTAATTGTGCTCATGAGGTACCTGTACATAGACAGGTACCAAGAGGTAGTTGTTCAAACAGAACTAGGGGATACTGCATGGTTTAAAATCAGGAAAGCTGTTGTCAGAGTTGTATCCTTCTACCATACTTATTCAATCTGTATGCTGAGCAAATAATCCAAAAAGTTGGACTATATGAAGAACAACATGGCGTCAGGATTGAAGGAGGACTCATTAACAACCAGCAGGATGCAGATGACACAACTTTGCTTGCTGAAAGCAAAGAGGACTTAAAGAACTTACTGATGAAGATAAAAGACTACAG